ACCTTTCCACCAATTGAAGTAGAAGGTCCAGCTCTAGCAGAGTTGACCTAAACCATGCTTCTGTAAATCCAAGTGCACTTGCAAATCCTATAAACACTGTAATTAGTAACGTGGTGAACATAGAAGTTAATAATTTGAATGCAAATTAGTTGTATAAATATAGAAGAAAAAGCAACAAAATTTCAACGTAATTAACAAAACATCAATAACTCACCGAAAAACACATGCATGAGCTCTGAAGGTTTCAAAAAACATGTTTTCGAGGCTATTTAACTTTAAGCTCATGCAGAAATCTATTTATACATTGAGTTACAAACTAATCTGTTTATACCATACTTAGGGTCTCCGTATTTAGATTTCGTATAAATACTCGGGGGACTCAAAATGTAATTATGTAATAAATGAAGGGGCAAATATGTAAAAATTGGAGGAGCCCTTATTCTATAAAAGGGCCTCATCACCCTCACAAACCTGAAGCCTCACTCTCATATTCAAGCTCTCATCCTCACATACAGAGGTTCTCTCCCTCACAATCCTCTCAGAGAAATACAATATCAGTGTGGACGTAGCCCAAATATTGGGGTGAACCACAATACATCTTGTGTTATCTACTTTCTTGCAGATTCACGGTCGGATTTACATTGTTCCAAGACTCTTCCGATTTTGTGCATCAACATTTGGCGTCCTCTATGGGAATCGACACGAAAAACTATGTCGGTTCTCTTTCATTTTTCCATTTCACTACCATGAGACCTCACCACTGTCCACCGTAGATCTGCAAAACCCAAGAGATACCGACCCCCTTCTAAAAAAATCCCTCTATCTCCTCTCCTTTCCCTGGCCTTCTCTCTATAGAAATTATGATTACCCCTAATCCGCCAGAGATTAGAGAGAGCATTTGCTAGCCAATCCTCTAGTCACGGACCGGAGGGCAGAAGATAATGCCCTCCCCGCACCTCCGATCAAAGTTGATCCACCGAAGAAGCCCAAAAGGAACAAGTATGCGCTCGCATGTGCTATTCTGGCCTCCATGACTTCAATCCTGATGGGTTATGATATTGGCGTGATGATCAAAGCTTTGATCTACATCGAAAAGGACCTCAAGATCACGGACACGCAAATCGAGATCCTGATGGGTGTTATTGAAATCTGCTCCCTCATTGGGTTCGCCATAGCCGGAAGAACTTCCAACTGGGTCGGCCGCCGCTACACCATAATCATCTCCGGAGCGATTTTCTTCATCGAAGCAATTCTCATGGGATTATTCATTTCTTTAACTCTCTGGCTGTCCTATCTAAACTTAATATCAATTGAGTAAATGTATAAAGGTCGTTGATATAGGTGGGTTCTATGAGAGTTCTGCATTTTAACAGAAGAACAAAGAACGTCTCGGAGATTTGGTTCTTCTCTATTTTCAGATCCTTGAATCGACCACCAAATGATTGTTTCAGATTCAAAGGTCAGAACCCATATCTCCAATTCTCATTGTCTTGTGATTTCTGAATTCAAAGGTCGATGAATATTACAAGGAGCAAGGGATAGTGAGCCCAGAAGAGTGAGAGACCTCACCGAGTTGCGGCTTCCTGGTTAGGCACTAGTTGGGCAGCTTCCTTTGGGTCTTAGAAACTTAACCCAGCTTTTGACCCTCTCTGCGCGTAAACGCGCTCTCCGGTCCACTACCAAACGACCTTGTCAACCTAGTCAACCTCAAGAATCTCTACTTGCAAGGTAACTCGTTTTCCGGTCCAATTCCTGAGTTTTTGTTCAAATTGAAAAGCCTTATGAGATTGAACCTTGAGAAAAATAAATTCTCTGGCGAAATCTCGTCGGCGTTTAATAATTTGACGAATTTGGTAAGTCTGCATTTGGAGGTGAATCAGCTTACTAGGTCAATTCCTGAGCTGGGTTTGCCCACAAGTCTTCGCCTGCACTGAGGGGTGTTAGCTGCTCGAAAGAAGAAGCATTTCCTTTTGGAAAAACCAACGGCTCTGGATGTGAGTAAGCTTGATCAGATACTGGAAGCGTGCGAATCCAACGATGTACAGTTCATGAATGGCAGCATGTGGCTGCATCATCCCAGGACTGCCAAGTTGAAGGACTTGGTCTCTGATCCCAAGCTTTTTGGTCAGATTGACATTGCTTAGTTTCAGTATGCGGGGACAGAAGTTTCGGTCCGGACCCGGCGTCAGCCCCGGATTTGAAAGCGGTCAGATGAAGAGCAGAACAAGATTTCTGCAAAAATAAACCCACGAGAAGCACTCATGAATAAGATAAGAATATGCCCACCAAGGTTCCTGTCTCCTTTAATCTTTGCCTTCAATGCACAAAAGCAAGAAAATCATCAACCAGCTCTGAGAAAGCAAAAGTGGAATAAAAGAAAGAGGAAAGAGCTGGAGAGTAACGTGCAATCCACTATCAAGTGGGCTTGCTGGATAAAGGAACAGAATAGAAAATGAAAAAAATCATGATGTTGTTGAGAGAATGTTTCAAAAAAAGAAAAAGAGGAAGAGTGGGAAACGAAAGCAGAAAAGCAGAAAGAAAAACAGAAAGCAAAAGTAGAAAGCAAAAGAAGATAAAAAGAAGCAGACATAATTGCGGTGGTGATGACATGCAGAAAAGGGAATTATGGGCGTGACCCATTGAGCAGAGGGTCGAATTTATTTTTGAATGATGTAATTTATTTTTCTTATATTTTTGGAGATATCTGTATAACCCCATCAGAGGGTAATAAAAAATAAAAAATAAAAAAATAAAAAAAAAGGCAAGCCCAAAACAATGGGCTGGAATGTTATGTGGAGGGCGAAGGCCCATATGCCCAAAAGAGCCAGGCCCTCTATTATCACCAACCAGGTGATCAAAAGTACGTCCAGTACTGCAAAAAATTATTCGGTAGCCTGGCACTATTATCACCAACCAGGTGATCAAAAGTACGTCCAGTACTCCAAATTTATTCGGCACCCTACCGCTATTATCACCAATCAGGTGATCAAAAGTACGCCCAGTACTCCAAAATTATTCGGCAGCCTGCCGTTATTATCACCCACTAGGTGATCAAAAGTACGCCCAGTACTCCAAAATTATTTGGCAGCCTGCCGCTATTATCACCAACCAGGTGATCAAAATTCAGTACTCCAAAATTATACATGAGCATCACTCATGTCAATCATACATAAACATTCATGAGCTTCACTCATGTCAATCATATATAAATATTCATGACCATCATTCATGTCAACATTCATGAGCATCACTCATGTCAACATTCATGAGCATCACTCATGTCAACATCCATGAGCATCACTCATGTCAATCAACATAAACATTCATGAGCATCACTCATATCAATCAGCTTCGAAAGCTTCATTTACAGAGCTCCAACTTCAAAAGCTTCATTTACAAAAGCCCCAGCTTCAAAGCTTCACCTACAAAGCTTCAGTGCAGGGTATACAAATACCTCCTCCGAATAACCGTCACTTCGGCCCATACATGGATTGAATTTGAAGTCTCCAGCCAACAGCCTCTATTGACTGAAGACTTGGGGAACTACATAATGTACCATATATTGGGCCTCAAATGGGCCTCATGAAAAATACTTGGGGGACTTAGCCCATTATTTATGTACTGAGGAGCGAGCCCTTATTCTATAAAAGGGATTCCCTCACTTTCATTAGAGAGCACACATTATTCATGTACTGAGGAGCGAGCCCTTATTTTATAAAAGGGACTCCTTCACCATCATTAGAGAGCATCACCGCCAGCTGAGCAACCGCCTTGCCACGAGCATCAACTCTAGCCCATCACTTATGTATTGAGAAGCGAGCCCTTATTCTATAAAAGGGACTCCCTCACCTTCAACGCCACAAGCCGAACCAACCAAAGCAACATAAGCCACAAGCAGAGCAGCCTCGCAACATGTGCTACTTCTGGTTGAGCATCATTTCATATTGGGCACCGCCTCATATCGAGTATCAATTCAAGACGACATCTAGTTACTTCGGCCCACACATGGACTGAATTTCAAGTCTCCAGCCAAAAGACTCTCTTGACTAAAGACTTGGAGGACCACTACTACAAAATTATCTATAACTGACGGTTCAAAAACCGACAAAAAATGTATATTACTGTCAGATTTTAAGCAAAATCCGACAGAAAATGGATGCAGTGACGGATATCATAAACGACAGAATTGCCTGCATCAGGAAATAAATTTTCTGACAGAAAATACTCTAAAACCGACAGAAATCATGTTGGTTATTTCCGACAGGATATATATTTATAATAAATAAATAAAAGAATTTATGTCGAATAAAACCGATAGAAAATACTAAAATCGTCAAGAACTCTGTTGGATATATCCGATAGATAATTTATTATAAAAATAAATAAAATCATTCTTGTCGGTTAAAATCGATAGAAACAATATATTAATAATAAAAATATATATATTTCTACATTTTCTATATCCCCTACATTCACCATGCGAAACCTCGCCCGAGCTCGATCTCGAAAACCTGTTGTGGGATTTTGAAAAGAGCGAGAGAGAGAGAAAATATCAAAAGAAATGAAGCAAAAGGGGGGAACCAAAAATGGGAAGAAGAAGAAGAAGCAACAGCAAAAACGAAGTAGAGATTAAACCCACAAACTTCGAACTTAACGACATTCGCCGGAATTCATCGCTATGATGACATGCATGCACAGATTCAAAACAGAGATTAAACCCCAGAGATTTTCAACATAATACTCATCACAGATGGATAAGAACCCACACAACCAAGAGGGGAAAATAATTCATACCTGAGATGGAGTTCGAGAGAGCTGAAGCTCTCAATGTTAATGGTAGAGCTTAAAAACAGGTGAAGAAGCAAACAACGGCACGAAAATAGGACTCGAAATCCTGCAACTCATCTAAATTAATCCCAAATTATCCGAAATGGTATACACTTCAAAACAAAATTTTAATTCAGCTAAAGGAAAAGTGAGAGCCTCACTGAAGCAGCAGCTCAGTCGAGAGGGATCTCGACGTCACCGTCGGCGATGTCCTTAGGGTTCCTTCCGTCGACCGTGCAGCCCACCGAGACGCAGGTTCCGAGAATCTCCTTCACCGTGCCGGCCAGCTCCATGGCCATGGATCTGTTCCTCATAACCTTGGCAATCTCGATGACGTCATCAATGGAGATGTTGCCGTTGTGCTTGATGTTCTTGGTTTTCTTGCGATCGCGCTCGGGCTCTTTCAAGGCCTTGATGACCAGTGCGGCCGACGACGGCACCACCGAGACCTTAGCCTGCCTATTCTGGACGGTGAGCTTGACGGTTATGCATTGATGATACATGCAACGCTGCAGGTTGATTCCCCATGTCCCAAGGGTTCGAAGTTCAAAATTTTTAGGGTTGATTTGGCCAGAATTGAGAGGAATGGCGGGGGTTCCTTCTCGGAGCTTAGAGAGAGGGAGAGTGTCGAGAGTTAGGTTTCAGAAAAAATAAGGAGAAGAGTGGAGGCCGGATGTGGGTATAAGAAAATTTTCATTAGTGTCGTTTAAAACCGACATAAATTTTTTTTTAAATATAAACCGATAGAAAATTTTCATTACTGTCGGTTATAACCGACAAAAATAAAATGGCGGAAAAATTCCCTCCCAAACTTTTCAATTCCCCCCCCCCCAAATTTTGTTACTATTTAAAAAAATAAAATAATAATTGTTTGGCTTAATAAATAAATAAATAAAATGTATTTAAGCAGAATAAGTTTTTAAAAATTAAATAAATAATTGTTTTTTTTTTTGTCGAAAATAAATAATTGTTTCGTTTAATAGATAATAACCCATGTAAAATATGCAATAAAGAAACAAAAAGATAATTGTACAATGAAAATGTCATCACACAAACTAAATATTGTTTAATCAATACTTGAAAAACATAAATAAAAATTAGCACAAATTACTTTTCACACTTCAAAATTTAGGCAAATTTAACGGAGATATACATTCTACGAAACTATAAGAATGCAATGAATGAATTAACGCTGAGATATTAGGTAACGGAACAAAAGTTTTAGTCGGTTATAAACAAAAAATCACAATTTAACGGTTATTTTAGCTCCGGTTTTGATAATTTTTTTACAGCTACACTCCTCGACCATATAAGAATGCAATGAACGAATTCGATCTTCAATCTAAAATATTTACACTAGTGGATACCACAAAATCTTATTTTATACTTAATGGAAGTATAATATTAACTCTAAGTGTTTGTTTAATCTACCGTTTTGACACGATATGCATTCTACGAAATTTTTTTCAACGATCCAACCGTCAAACTTATTTTTACACACTCCGAGATTGCATACGTAAAAAATCGTAAAAAAAAACATTCAGAGACTATATAACCGAACAAAAGTTTTCGACGGTTATAAACGAAAAATCACAATTTAACGGTTATTTTAGCTCCGATTTTAATGATATTTCACAGCTACACTCGTTGACCCTATAAGAATGCAATGAATAAATTTGATCTTCAATTTAAAATATTTACAACAGTGGATACCACAAAATCTTATTTTATACTTAATGGAAGTATAACATTAATTCTAAGTGTTTATTAAATATACTATTTTGATGCGATACGCATTCTACGAAGCGTTTTTCAACGATCCAACCGTCAAAATTGTTTGTACACACTTCAAAATCACATACGTAAAAAAATCAGAAAAAACAAACATTCAAATATTATATAACGGAACAAAAGTTTTCGACGGTTATAAACGAAAAATCACAATTTAACGGTTATTTTAGCTCTGATTTTAATGATTTTTTACAGCTACACTCCTCGACCATATAAGAATGTAATGAATAAATTTGATCTTCAATTTAAAATATTTACACAAGTGGATACCACAAAATCTTATTTTATACTTAATGGAAGTATAACATCAATTCTAAGTGTTTATTAAATCTACTATTTTGATGTGATACGCATTCTACAAAGTGTTTTTCAACGATCAAACCGTCAAACTTTTTTTAGACATTCCGAGATCACATATGTAAAAAATCACATAAAACAAACATTAAGAGATTACGTAAAGGAACAAAAGTTTTCGACGGTTATAAACGAAAAATCACAATTTAACTGTTATTTTAGCTCTGATTTAAATGATTTTTTTTCAGCTACACTCCTCGACCATATAAGAATGTAATGAATAAATTTGATCTTCAATTTAAAATATTTAGACTAGTGGAGACCACAAAATCTTATTTTATACTTAATGGAAGTATAACATTAGCTCTAAGTGTTTGTTAAATCTATCAATTTGATAGGATATGCATTCTACAAAACTAGTTTCAACGATCAAACCGTCAAATATGTTTGTATATACTCTGAGATAGCATGTGTAAAAAATCGCAAAAAATTAAAAAATTAAAACATGTGTTTATTTAGTTATTTTTAACCAATATAACATTTTAAACTAATAAAATCAGACATGATAAGATACATCAGATGTTCATGTGTGTTTATGTGCCAGACAATGTGCTTTGTGACGCATTGAAAAAAATTGTTTGAATTTCTTTGTATCTTGTTGCTTGCCTATGAGGGAGCATAATTCTTATTATAAAAATGATAGAGCTTTAGATTGTAGTCTGTTGTTATTATTCTCTCAGAAAATTTATGGCTCGTGGGAATTGGGTTCATTAGACTTTAGGGTCATGAGTGAAAAAAAAAAGTATTTAAAATATGTGTTTATTTATTTATTTTTAATGAATATAACATTTTAAAATAATAAAATTTTCATTTCTGTCGGTTATAACCGCCCGAATACTAAAATAATAACCGCCAGAAAGTAAAATAATAAAATAGTCAATTTCTCTCGGTTATAACCGTCACAATTAACTAAAAAACCACCAGGATATATAAAAAAATATTTATAAAAAAAGATTAAAAAAATATTGTCGGTTATATCCGACAGTATGTTTTTCATATCCACCAGTAAATATCCGACATGAATTTCTGTCGGATATAACCAACATGATTGTTCTAATATCCGCCACTAATTAAATGATGTGTCGGATACAGTTTATCCGACAAGATTTTTCTAAAACCGCCACTATCATCCGCCACTTAAAGCTAATATTGTAGTAGTGGACTACTGTTTATACCATACTTAGGGCCTCCGTATTTAGATCTCGTATAAATACTCGGGGAACTCAAATGTAATTATGTAATAAATGAAGGGGCAAATATGTAAAAAGGGGAGGAGCCCTTATTCTATAAAAGGGCCTCCTCACCCTTACAAACCTGAAGCCTCACTCTCATATTCAAGCTCTCATCCTCACATACAGAGGCTCTCTCCCTCACAATCCTCTCAGAGAAATACAATATCAGTGTGGATGTAGCCTAAACATTGGGGTAAGCCACGATACATCTTGTGTTATCTACTTTCTTGCAGATTCATTGTCGGATTTACGTTGTTCTAAGACCCCTCTGGTTTTGTGCATCAACATAATCTATAAATAATTTTTTACATATAACGTGCAAATTTCCTTTTTCAATCTGTTGTATGCCTATGATGTAATAAACATATAAAAAAATTGCGATTTGACGGCTCATATAATACCAAATACTTTTCCAAAGTATCTCTGGAAATATATAATGAAGCTTTAGTGGGTACAATTGGACCATATTGCAATTCATCCAACATCAACTGTTCACTGCAATTCATGCAGTGAGAAATTACTAGATTGCAATTATGACCGCGCATAGCACGGGGACTTTACTACAAATTTTGAATTTCTGAAAAATTTTGGCTAATTTCTCAATACCATTTTCTCAAAAACGTGCATACAACGACAATCCATCTTAAGAGCTGTAATCCAAATTCATTCTCAGCTCGATTTTGGTCCTATGATTACTCACTCACAAATGTGATCGTTATTATATGTGCAAAATAAAACTGCACTAAAATTTAAGGCTGTGTGCATTTATGCGTCACAAAGTTTTCATGCCTATGCTGTTTTACCTTCTCATTAGTCATACAGAATTAATATGATCTCTTCAGTTTGGTAATATCTTGAACTACTTACGATATACATCATGAGCAAGCATGCTTACAAACTTCAACACTCTAAAAAACAACATGCACTCATCTACAAAGTTTTCTGATTTTACTCAAGGCCTTAAATACAACTTAATTAACAAAACACCAAAAATTCACACACAAAATTTAACAAACCGCCGAAAAGATAAAAATCCAGAAACTAAAAGCAATAACGCAGAAAATCCAGATCCAAATGACAACTAAAGACGCCCCAAAAAAAAAAACCAAATTAGGAAATCATGAAGGCAACAACGAAGAACTCACCGAAATCGAATGTAGAAAAAGAACCACCGGGAGATGAGGAAAGCGGCAAGCCAAGGAGAGGGGCGACATATAAGTGAGTTTTCTCGTTCAGGGAAAAGAGGGAGGAAATTGAATTAAGGCAAGAGCATTTACGTTGGAATGAAAATGGAGCACGAAGGAAGAGGTTTGAGTGACTGAATATGATCCCAGATGTCAAATTGGGTATTTTGGTTAGTTGCAGAAATGAAATCGAACAAGCTAAACGGGGTAAAATCAAAACTGTACTGTGCTTATGAACAGTGTTTGAGTGCATTTTGAATTTTAGTATATACTAGCAAGCGATGCTGCGGGATTAAAAACGTAAAAAAATTTGTATATAGTACTATTTCATACAAAGATAATACTTGATGTGTACATGTAGAAAAATGTATTTGCCTCAACTTAACTTGTTGTGTTTGGCTCATACATTTGTGAGTAATTATGAGTCATGTGTTGACAACAATTGAAGACATAGTGACTACCACAAGCAAAGTGGACAACAATCCAAATGTCTTTTAGCTAGTAAACTAAACAAAGAAAAGTTTGGTAGACATCATCATGAGTAAAGACACAATGATGATGCTTATAAGAAAATAGAAAAAAGTGGTTGCTTTTGCTTTAATGATTATGCAAAAATTATGATGTTGGGGAAGAAAATGTGAGTGGCCTTATATTGAGAGTGCTTGCATCAAGAAAGCATCCAAGGAGATGGTGAGAGCATTTGGCTCTACCATGGGAAATGTTGAACATGGGTTGAGAGAAAATCAAGAGAGCTAAAGTGAAAAGTATATTAGTGAAAGAACTCTTGGGGTAGAGTGAGGCTCTTAGAAAATTCTATGAATGGCTGTGCAAGGGATTTGGGATTGTGTTATGTCAATTTAACTCATGTGTATCTTGTAATGTTATTCTCATAGTGAAGAGCAATATCTCTCCGGAGACGTAGGCATGATTTTTGCCGAACCT